GGTGCTCCAGGTGCTGGTGCTGAGGCTCCTGTGGCTTGTGGTGCAGACCACGGTGGAGCAGCTGTGCCCCTGCAGCCCATGGAGGGCCATTGGGGTGCAGAGACCCACCTGCAGCCCATGGAGGAGCCCATGCTGGAGCAGGTGGATGCATGAAGGAGGCTGTGATCTTGTGGGAGGCCTAAGATGCAGCAGGGTCCTGCTGGAGACCTGCAGCCAGTGGAGAGGGAAACCCACGCTGGAGCAGGTTTTTCATGGGTAGGACTTGTGGCCCTTATGGGGGACCCACAGTGGAGCAGCTCATTCATGAAGACTACACCCCATGGAGGAGTGACCCACAGGACAGCAGTCTGGGAAGAACTGTTGCCTGAGGGATGGACTCATGCTGGAGAGGTCCATCAAGGACTGTCTCCCATGGAAGGGACTCCACAGGAGCAGGGGAAGGACTCCTCTCCCTGAGCAGCAGCAGAAACAACAACTGACCATAACCCCCATTCCCCGTCCCCCTGCACTGCTAGGGAGGAGGAGGGAGAAGGTGTTTTTTAAGACTATTTCTCAGTCTTTGCCTCTTATCCTGTTAGTAATAAATTTAAGTACAATCCCTACTTCGAGTCTGTTTTGCCCATGAAGTAATCAGTAACTGACCTCTCCCAGCTGTTATCTCAACTCGTGAATCCTTAGTTGATTTTTTTCTCTCTCCTCTGTCCGGTTGCAGAGAGCGAGCGAGCGAGTGGTTTTAGTAGGTTCCTGGCATCTGGCCAGGGTCACCCACTACAGTGTGTTAAAACAATTTAAGCTGGTGGCCAGACTTAAATCACTTATTTGACTACTTTAAACAGTACTGGTAGTAATATGTGCTTTGCTAATGACACAATTCAAAAGATAATTAAACAATCCACAGAATTTTCTCATTAGGAGTTGTTTTCATAATTTAGGAATCAATATAGTGATTTCCTATATAAAAACCCTCTAAAATTCTTTACGAATAAACAGGTTAATGCAGCAAAAAGGAGGAAAAAGAGTCAGGTGCAGTAACAGACAAGAAGCAAATACCATGAGAAAGAGGAAACAATATTTTTAGGCACAGAGTTAACACCTATCATTAAAATAAGCTCAGCTAACCAATACTAGATGAAAAATAACCTTCTCTTCCAATAGTTAAAAAAGGAAATATTCACCTTCTGTAACTTTCCTCATTCAAAAATTTGTGTCCTAGCTTAAAATAATTGTCCATCTCTCTCTGTGGCTGACAGAGTAAAGACCCATTTTCAGTCCTGTAAAGTCCTCTCTAAAAAACCCAAAACAAACTGACAAGAAGCTGGGTCTGGCTCAACATTTTAACAACCTTCTCATTTGATCACTTAGAAGCTTAAACACTGTAAATAAGTGATAGAAAATGAACATGAGTAGATCCAATGATGGCATGATAAAGATGGCTTCGTAAATGTATAACAAAAAGAGGATAATTATTTGGAATATAATTTTGCCTTTGTTTTCAAACAAGAGGTATTTTGATGTAAAAAAAGATGGTTGTGTATTAAACTGAAAGACTAATTTGATTGCAGCACTGAGACAATTCTTTTCCAATGGCGTAGATGAAAAAATCTCAGTAATATTGTCTAATACTGGAGTTTAGGTTGGCAGGAAAATACCCAACCCAAATCTATTTTACTGCTGGCAATCATAACATTTTTAAAATGAGTAGGTATGACGATTGCTTTGCCTATTTTCAAACAATCTGTTATCTTTATCAGCAATTGTTTTTTTCTCTTAACAGTGCTTAGCTGATCCCATCACACACAATCAGCAGAAGAAACATTAGATTATGATGTTGCTGTTGCCCTCAAAAACCCACCATATCACCAGTTTTAAGATAAACTACAACAAAACTGTTGTACTATCGTAAAGTTGGGACTAGGATAACACACAAAACAATATATGTAAAGAAGATGGTGGAGGGGGGAGAAGAAAATTAAGAGTAGAGTGGATATGGGTTTGGAGGAAAATGTTAACTCTTTTGGATGACAGTCTGGGCTAGGAAAATGAGATATGGAATGGCAAAAATCCATTTACAAGAGCAGTCTCCAAGCATCTGAAAGATCAGTAGCATTTATTTTCAATAATCTTTATAGACTCAGTGCCTCATTTTTGGGCTTAAGGTAGAAAGTTCTGTAACACTTCCTTTAATGTCAAATACTGAAGAAATGGGGAGTGAGGTAACCACATGGAATAACAGTCCTGGATTGTGTCCAGAAGGAGCCTAAGCACTCCAAAACCTAGCAGCATCATCTTTAAAAAAAGAACAAGAGTGTCTTTGAGGAAGCATGTGGGGGAATTCATCCCCAGTTTACAACTGAGCTACCATTTTGGTCATCTCATTTATTTAACTTTCCCTTCATATCAAAAAAATACTTTCTTCCATCACTAGTGATAGTGTTTGGGGTAAAGGAGTATTGTCTAGGGAATCTGGAATTTGCAGAGCCTAGGTCAAAACAGATTTTCAACAACTGCAGCACCAATACAGGCGAGTATTCTTCTTGTGCCTGAAAATGCACGGTCCGTGCATGGAGACACAAAATACTTCATATTCCCACCTCGGAAGCTGAATTATGAATGCATCGACCGAAACTCCTTTAAAACAAAAAGCCTACTTGCTAATAGCTGCATTTTAAAATACATGGAGGACTCAGTGTTTTCCTTTTTGGTAGAAAACTGAGTAAAAGAATCACAACTCATGACAGAGAAGAATTTGTCTCTAGTGCAAGTGGCATTTAAGCATGACGCAAACATCACCTCTCAGCAACCATTATCACAGCAGGTGCCCTGAGATATATGTCAGCTTTTAAACAGAGGAATAATAGATAGCAGAGACATTTAGGCAAGGATATCTCCCAAAAATTGTTAGTGAGAACAGATCTTTTCAAGCTGTCCATATAACACAACAGTAATTTTTAAAGGCAGTCAGTAGGCTTTTATCCAACTTTATAGTCTTTCTAGTTAAAATTATAAAATATAAACCAAGAAAGACATGTGGAGAACACTCAAAAGGCATGGAAAGCTAACGCAGTAGATATCATATTACTAGGCCAGCTACTTTAGCAAAATCCAGAAATCTGGGTTAAATACCTTATTTTAAGCCTATTTTAGGATACCATGGAATCACTACTGGGCTAATTCCTTGCAATATGTAATGGCTGAGGGAACACGGCATACAGATAAGTTTGCTTCCACCTGCTTTTTCTTACAGATGTGTTTTGATTAAACTCTGTAGAAACAGCATGATGATAAATTTTCAGTCAATGTGTTAAAAGGTTGTAATACAAACCACTGTGTTTTAAGGAAAAAAAACACACCCAAACAAACAAAAAAACAGAGAACTACCAACAAAGAGAACAAAAAGGAACCAACGAATTCAAATGATAGACATGTCTCTGTTATAGAATCATTACTTACACTTGAAGCATGTGAGACCATCTTTACCCATGGACTAAACTGAGAAGAAGCAGCCTACAGTAGAAGCTAATGACCAGCTTAAGCACTGAAAAAACAAGTAGTTTTAGCATCTTTTGGGGTTTGGTTTTTTTTCAAAGAAGTGTTAGGATCCTCTGAAATATCATTATGCAGAATGATCTTCAGGAAAAGGTAAATTGCTCATATTCCTGCAAAGTTACTGAACTGAGTACAGAGCCATATGACAAATTAACTAAAAGATGAGTATTTCTTCACAGCTTCCTTTTTGACCAGAAAATAAGTAGTATTCCTGACACTTCAAGGACACAGAGATTGTGCAAGTGCTCAGATTAAATTTGTAGGTTCAGATTAATTCAAATATATCAAGACTTAGAACAGTATGAAGAATTTTAGAATATAAGGATTAACTCTACAGGCCCTTGCCATCTGTACTTAATTAAAAACCCACTGTTACCCATAGGAGCAAGAACACACAGCAGGAAATTTCTGTCGAGTCTCTGTACACCCTTGGTTTCCCCGATGAGGCTAAATATGAGACAACTGTCTCTCTTTCATGTGGAGAATAATTTCATCCGCTTTTCCACCATAAAACACAAAAATAAATTTTTCCTTTTCTTCAGAAGTTTCTAACTGCTGTTTCAACAAGCTGCTCTAAAAAAAGCTTTTGGTAAATTCCAGGATCTTCAGTTAAACAGACGAGGCAACTGCTGCTTCCTCTCTGCAAAATGTTGTAAACTTGGGAGAAAAAAAAATAGTAATAGCGTTCCTGACTTGCTTAGCAACTGTAGGTAGAAAAGCTAATATGTCATAATTTATATGTGGAAAGATTGCAAGGGGTTCGTAGCCATGTCTAGTGCTATTGAGGCTTCCCACCGAGAACTGCACTGCAAACTGGCAGCTGACTGAAAACACTGCCATCTTCCACAGTTCAAAAAATGTAAATGTGTCACTGACTGGTCAAATAGGCTTCCACACCAGTGATTTATTGCAATTTCTCACATTAGTGACTTGTATAAATCACTCTCGGGCTGAAAACAACCCCATGCACAGTTTTATAATGAATTTGTGTGCTGAATCAGCCTTTCTGGCCCCAGTTGTGTCAGGAGGTGGTTTTGAGCAGCCTCAGTTAGACAAAGATAATTTCTATGAGCAGGATTTGCTAGGGTGCAAAAAGCTGAAAGTAAACACACTTTTCCAAGGAGCTTTGGAAGTACAGAAGGGAAGAAAAGAAAATTAGTGCCTCTCAACAAAAGAGGAAAATTCAGTGAAACAGATCTGCAACTACTGTTTTTGTTCATTAAAAAAGGAAAATTTGTGGCTACTGGGGAGAGTAGAGGCATCCCCCTAGCAGTGTTTTCTGCAACTGTGGTATCAGAGACATGAAGATCAATTGGGCTTCCTATATGTGGCAGAGTTAGGATGGTTACACTCAGAAACAGAAGAATATGGATATAACCCTAAACCAGAGAACCGTCCCCATACCTGAAACACAAAGGAGACAAATATTTGGGAAAATACGCATGAAACTTTACCTGCAGCCACTGTGACTGGTCGTTGTGGCCTGAGGTCCAGGCATTAACCTTGCCTTGCTTGTCCAGCCGGGCCTTCCTGGGCTCCCAAGCAAACATGTCCATGTTGAGCGTACGGAAAACACTGGAGGCAGTGATTTGAAAGTCCTGTATGTGTCCTGATTTCATCCCTAGGGGCTCAGAGCAACCTGCAACAGCAAGATAAGGTCAGGGGCACTATCTACTTATCTCTGTGAGTGGTTTAGATTTTTCTGTTGTGGAAAAAAACCCTGCAGTTCTCAAAGAAAAGGATTTAATCAAGACTATTGTTGAAGGAACAAATAAATGAAAAATAGCCAAATTGAGGCACTTTATTTCAACAATTGCTTGGGTGAGTCAAAACTAAGATAGAGAATTCAACTTATCTTATCCTGGCACAAATTTATGAAGACAAACAAACTGAAAAGACAATTTTGTCTCTGCTTATCTTGCTTTTATTTTCCCATTCAGCAGCTTCCTACTGTTCCCCTTGTTCAGCTTGATATTCTCATGCTTTTATGTCACCCTGCTTCAACCATGTGTTTGTCTACTGAAGAAATATTAATTTTTCATGAAGCCACTGCTGAAGTAAAATGTTAACAATACTGAGATTTTTTACACCTCTAAATTACTTGACATCTGGTTAAAATTCTAGAAAGCACAAAAACCTACTGAAGGAGCGGAAGGCCACAGAAAAACAACTGTGAAGGACGAAGAATAGTTGGAAATTATAACTTAAGAGAAATCAAGAGTTAATGGTTTATTTGTTTGTGGACATCCCACATAATTGAATTATTTTGGTTGTAGCAAAATATAGATCTTAGGCTTCTCCTTTCTCTGTTCTCCATGAAAACAGGAAAAAAAAATCTGTTTTCTCATTTTAGTCAAAGACTCTACATTGTGTTTCTCCCATAGGTTTAAAACACAGAATTAAGTGGAATTATGAAAAGATTCAATCAGGAATTTAAGACCATAGGCCCTTCATAGGCGGCTAACAGCAGGAGCAAATACACGTTACTAGAGACACATAATGTTAACATTATGTTAACATCTTTAATGCAGTATGTCCTGTATTTAAATTTTGAATATTGATGTTTTGTATTAAATTTTTTAAAAAGTCAAACAAAGAAATTAGAAATGTGAGAAAACGCAGTTAAATTTTTTTAAAAAAACCCAGTCTTTCAGAACTGATTCTCAGTGTACAAATGAAATTGCACAGCCTTGTCTGTAGAATGGACTGCCTAGTTCAAAACAACAACAAAACAATTTTCCTGGGAGTAGGAGGGAGCAATTGATAATACAAATGAGACAGATTAATCTATTGCTTTAGAAAAGGACTTTCCTTATTATTAAATTCTGAAGTATCACTCCAGGATCACAAGGGCTGTCAGCAGAGATGTTTCATCCCAGGAACCTGAAGGAGGCTCCTGACACAAAAACAGGGGCTGTCAAAGTTGTGTTTCAGTGCTGGCCCAAACCATCAAAAATAGTTCTATCTTTTCTGAGCACTATTATTGATCTATGAAACAACAGCTGTGTCTGCCTGTGCATGCGTGCATGAATTAATGGGATTTTACACTTGCCTGCCTCCTCCGTGGCCCCAGAGGGAGTGGGAAGACAGTTGTTAAAGGTAACAGGAGAAACTGAGAAGAGCAACAGGAACCAGAAGAGACAAACATGATGCACATGGGTGGCAGTAAAATGCCTTGGTGCTGTGTCACAGAGAGCAACAGCACACCCTGTCTTTTCCCAACTTCAACAGCAGTAGACAATGACAATTTGGATGGTCTACTTTGTGTCTACAGACAGTTATATCTCACAGAAATGCAATTACAATAATGCTTATGTTTTCCCAGGACATCTCCTCCTCACTGGAGGAGGAGGAGATCTTTCAATCTTTCAATTTGCTTTGCCATGTCCCTGTGACATGACAATTCAATTTCCACTCACACTTTTGCCACCTGTTAAAGTTTGTGAGAGCTCATGCAGGCATACTTATGGCTTATGCCCAGTGGAGCATCTTAGCTAAGAATGTTTGAGATGCTTTGGATATCTCCATCTGTGATAAATTATACCTGATACCTCTGTATGTTTAATTCTATCTAGTTTTATCTTATTATACTTCTTATTTGGTCTGGCTTGGGGAAACAGAAGCAGGGGATTAATGAGGATGAGTATGGATTAGCATCTGAAAATTGAAAGAATTCAATTCTTTCAATTTTGTAGTGTGTGGATTGTTGACTCTCCCAAGGGTACAATCTTTTACTCTTCAGCCTGAATTCTGTACCATGACCTTAATCTAGCTCTTCTTTCAAGAAAACTCAAACCCTCGAAGGAAATCTTAAATATTCAATGTAATGAAGGCAAGCTCACAGAGGGATGTGCTTGCAAAGGTCTGCATACATCTCATCTTCGACAAAAATTCACATAGTATTGGCAAAAGCAGCATATGTCAATTATTTGAGGGCAAAGGTGAATTTGTTTTGATTAATACTGTGATATTTTTCTTTTCTAAAAATTGAGAGATTTTACAATTTTTCTTCATGTTAATGAATCATAGAATGGCCTGGCTTGGAACGGATCTTAAAGCTCATCCAGTTCCAACCCCCTGCCAAAGGCAAGGACACCTTCCACTAGACCAGGTTGCTCAGAGTCCCATCCAACCTGGCCTTGATATAATGACCATAGGATTCCTTTTCAGATTAGATAGTGCTGAGGACAAACAAGGAAAGGGGAATGTGGTATTAAATGCAGGTGTTACGAAGTCCCCTTTTGTGTGAGCTTTGTGTAAATGGTACCTATAAATACTGTCAAGACAGAGAAACAGTTACCAGGGAACAACATGCCCAAAGAAAATGAAAGTTACACACTCAGGAGATGCTGTGGGTATCACAAGGGTGTTCAAGTTCTTGGGACCAACACCCCTCTGCAAGAATTGAGAAAGCCAAAACACCAAGAGTTGGCTGAATTGGTGCATAGGCACTAACATACATGATTATTAATAGCATTTGGTAGGGACTGCTTGCATGGACATGGATGTTTGAATTTGTGACTGAATCCATGAGTAAGCAACTGTGTTGTGCGAACAGTGATCTGTTTTTAAAACAGCAGCTTCATGCCGCAGCTATTAATAACAGCTTAATGAATAAAGGCATTCTAATAAACAGTAGCTGTGATCTGTTTCTCTCCTCACATCAATACTCTATGTAGGGAAGGGAATTTAGGACACAGAGATGTGCAAAACACAAGCGAGGCAGGAACACAAGGCCATGAAAATTAATGTCTAATTTATTGATGGCCAACTCCACTAGCATTGATTGTGGTTTTCAATAAGGTCTGACTGTGGGTCCTCGTGAGTAAATCTATTTATGAGACTAAAGCAGATTGTATTGAATATTTTGTTGAAGTTTGTCCTAAAAAAGAATTAGTTTTTATGATGATCTGGTGCTTCAAGTCTCCCTCTGTTCAGCAGTGACCCCCTCCTCTAACACCAGGACATGTTAAAGAAGCCAGAGCTCTCAAAATGCTTTTCTGTCCAAGACAGGCCACCTGGAATTATGAGCAAATTAGTCTCTATAATTCTACTCTTCTTTCAGTAAGGCTGAAATTGTTCTGCTGAGCGCTGGCTGCCCACAGTTTTAAGAAATGATGACCTTGAAACTGTTAGGACACCACTGAAATGAATTCACTGCAGTGGCTTTCACAGTTCTTTGAGCAAAACAATTCCTGGTCATTCTGGCAAGGACTTACTCTAAATTGTGGTTCCAGAAATGGAAGACATAAAAAAATAAATCTAATAGACTAAAGCAGCTAGACAGAAATTTCTATTTACTTTTAAACCTATCTGTATTGGAAAAGGGCTACACTGAGATTAATGTATTAACTTTTCATTTCTGAATCTGGTTTTGATGCCACTAGAGGACTGAGAATTATTTAACTCCAGCTGTTTTGATGTATCATTCGTGAACTGGATGACTATTGTTTGTACAGTAAGCAGGCAGCCACATAAAAATCATTCCTAAATGAATTCAGTGGAGTGTTCCTACCAGTAAAAGGTTTATCTCTTGAAAAATATAAAAAATTTACATGCTTTACTGAATTTGTAAGAGAACACGGTTCATGTAGAAAGTGGCTGGAGGTCAGGCTTTACATTTCAGACCCACTCTACGAATCTTAAGAGGGTTTATATTGGCTCCAATTGTTCATTACTTTTAGCTGCAAGATGCAATCCCTGCTCCTGCTAAATCCACAGAACAAATCCAAACTGAAATCTTGATTAAAGCAGCCCAGTCAAATGTTTCTTGTTGCACTTTGAGTGGTCCTAGAAGGCAGTGGAAGTATGTTTGTCCCCTGGAGGGTGTCACAGAGCACACTGGTGGTGTCACCCAGAAGCTAGGAGGAATTAATTACCCATGTCAGGTTCGATCCCTGCTGCTCCAATGTACAGCCAGCTCTAGAGTCTCAGGAACCATTTTCAACCCTTTGTTTAGGCTGTGCTGAGTGCACCTTTGAGTTAGAGACTCCCTGTCTCGCGGTCTGCTCGGTGTGGGACATTACGAGTACTGATATCCATTGACACTCACTAAAACTGTCATAAACGAGCTTGTCTAGGTCACGTATGACTGGAGGTGCACAGAAAAATTTACCAAGCGTTATTAGCTTGACACAACATTGCCTTACTACTCTTACTGCCCTACTGTTGTCACTGACGTCGCTTAGCTAAGTGTTGCTGGTTGTATAACGCACAGAAAAAGAGGTGAGTAACTGTGTGGACAAACAGGCACAAACGAAACTACGTTTCACTAGGGACAAAACAAGTGCACAGTTTAGACCTGCCCGGTGCTTGACGACTGCAGGAACCCCACCTGTGAGTTCACAGCCCAGGAGCTCCATTCTCAGTGTGCAGTGCCTCCTGCACACCTGAGGGTACAGCCGAATGTACTGGGACTTGATGGGTGGGGTGAAGGAGTTGGTGTAAGGGGTGTTGTTGTCCACATTCCCACGGAACACCTGTGACGAAATAGCACACTCACAAAAACATGCCAGGAGGATTGATGGACGTTCAGTTAATTTTCATGTCTCAAAAGCGTCTGTTTTGACTGCCCCTGCAAACTTTTCCCAAATAGCAGCTGTTTCAGCATCTCTAGCGCCCGATACAAGTTTTTAAGCAAAATGTCCTGCCTTTGAGTCACATCATGACATCTTTAAACCAGGGCTTCTATCTTGTCAGTCCCAGAAGCTGAAGCTATTAATGCAACTAAATTATGCCTTCTTCTCTAATTAGTGTATTAAATAGTCTCAATTCAATCTGGCCTGCAATTATTTACGCTGATTGGCATTTATTTTTTTCCCCCTCAAGTTCAAGAACATGATCCAGCTCTCGCTGAAGTGACTGTAACCCTCCCACTGATCACAGGGGGTGCTGAATTAAACCTATCAGCATTCTTCTATTCACTCCTCACTCTAACCAGATATCCTTGTACTGTGTTTTCTTCCCTCATTATATACCTCCTCACACAGCATTTTAATTTCCTAATAGAGAAGCTATGTGTAATGCTTCACAGTGCATTAGTTCTATGTAAACTTACACAGTAAAGGGGTTTTTTTGCTCCTTTGTATGCATGACTCCATCAAAAATAATTGGTAACTGTAAACTGTATACGCACACATCCCACTGGATGATACGTTTGTGCAGCACAGAGATTAGCATTGATGAATGGGTTCTATGTGTTCAAGGGTTAATGCTAATCTGCCATTGTAATAAAACTAAATTGAAAACAGAGTAATGAGTAATTACTGGTAAACTAATTAAAATGAAAATCAGTTAAGTGTAATAAACAGGATTATTCTAGCTTGGGGAAATAGTATTTATAAAACCATCAATTAAAGTATAAGAAATTCTTAGCAAACAGAAAATGTAAATTTGTTGATGCTATTTTTTTTTTTAATTCAGAGAAAAATAATGATAATGAAACCTATATCATACTTCCAGGCAATTAGGCTTATGTAACACTGACGCCTCATACTTCTAAAGGCAGCTAAAACATAAGAGATATTCAGATACAGATGACTTAATCTTACCATATCTTCCTTTGTGCCTTTTACTTTGTACATTGTCCAAGAATTCCCATCATTACTGTATGCAATTTTATAAGATTTTACGTATTCTGGACTCCCAAGCCTCTTGGCACCTTGAGTTATAACTCCAGTGACTCGCATCTTCTTCTGCAGGTTTATCTGAAATAACAGTACATTTTCATCACTAAGCATCTGAGAGGCACAATTCTGATCCTTGATTCTTTTGATTCTTCTTTTCTTTCCTTTCTTAAATGACAGAAAAAAGCATAGCTGTATCATTTAAATTACTGTTTTTATACTTGCATTAATTCCTTTTGTCTTTCATTAATTTGATGCACAAATGCACACAATGAATGGAAAAAACTGAACTAAAAGCCTGGACTATGCTTATTTCATGTGTATGTGTACACATATATATATACATATATTGTGGTTATACAGAATATTATTGGTGAATTACTGGGATATTGCTATATATATTTCCTTCCTGAAAAATAAATGCAATAAAGTGATAATTTACCAAAGGCTGCATCTTCTGATCTATTAGAAGCCAATTTACAATACCATACAAAAGATCCTAAGTTAAATTCAGGCAAAATTTCTTTGTGACAGTGAAGATACATGGAAGTTCTGAAAGCAAAGAAGTATACTTTTTCTTGATTCTCACTGAAAATTCATATATCTACAGATCAAGGTTGTAATGCTAATCTTAAAACAGTCAATAGCAAAATATCAATCAGTGGATGTAAACATGCCCTGTGTACTTGTCTGAGCCGATGGCAATACTTTGAAGGACAAAATAAAGATGTTCAGAATCAACAAATGAAGAGTTCAACAGTATTCCACCAACCTTAATTTTGACTTCTTTATCCACCTATGGACATGGTAAGTCAACTATATTCCCCAAAAGTTCAGAATGTGGTATTCAAACCAAAAAATGTTGTCACTGTCAGCCTCGTCCCTGTGATGGAGCCAATCGGTGGCAGCTGCACTTCTACCCCTCGTGGGCAGCTGAGATCTGCAACTTTTGCACCAAATAAAGCTTAACAAAGAGCTGTCACATCATGAGAGCTGAGTGAAGGTGTGTGATAAGAGGAGGTGAATGGAAATACTGGAGAGCAAACAACTGGGCCCAGGTAAATAATGATTGAACAGCATTAGCACTCCAAATGTCCAAACATCCTCCTCCAAATGAGTCTTATCTCTGCTCCCCAATTAGTGAAGCTGGTCCAGTGCAATCACCACTGTTGGGAATAGCAGTCCCAGCACAGGCAGATGGGGACTTGGAGACAGATCAGGTATCTGCTGTCCAAACACCTTAACCTCTTTATTCTTTGCAGTGTGGTCTGAAGACTTTCTTCCCCTTGGCAATATAATCTAACCTCTATTAAGGATACAAGATTACCAGACTTCAGTGTTTCAATATCTCACTGTGCACACAGTGGGAAACAGGAGGAAGTCTGGCTATTTCTCTGCGGCTTCTCTGAAATAGTTGGCTTTTGGTGTAGTTTTATCATAGCTCTCCCCATAAGAAATTAATAAACACTCATAAACCTTCTGAAAAACAATGCTTATTTTCGAGGTTTAGACTCACTGAGAGAGGAAAAGCTTCCTATTTAAGATCAGATTTTTTTACAGGATCTTTCCCACAGGCTAGGGAAAGCTGAGGAACATTTTCAGTTCTAGTGAGGAGAATGGACTCATGCCAGGATTTTAGACAGGTATAAATTAGAAGAGATCCATGACTTTTTACAGTCTTGGAAACCTTCTTTTCCCTAGTTACTGGTCTCCCAGGGGGGAAAGCAAACCCAAACAAATATGTTATATTTGTAAAAGGACAGCTATAGAGACTATCAGTCCCATAACTACATAAAAAATATATTTAACATGGAATAGTAAACAGTTAAAGATTTATGGAAGTCTCTTATGCATATTTCACTCTCTATATGGAATTTCAGAATATTAATAAATAGGTAAGTAGACCAATTTTTCATGCATTTACAAAATTGCTAATAATGAAGTGAATACCATCTCCAAAAATAAATTAGAAAGCACACTCAAACAGAAACCAGCCATTGATTATTTGCTGACTGATAGTAACTTCACATTTCACTTAATTGGAAAAGGAAGATATCACGCAACACCAAATAAATTTTCTGTGATCCAGTGATGCATTTAACTAATATTCTTTCAGCTTAACCACAAACTTTTCTTTTTCCAGATGATAACCTTGGGGAGTTTTTTCGGATGAGAACTTATGGGGATTCTTTTCCCTCTTGTTCACCCATAGAGAGTAATTTTGTAATGAAACCATGGCTTTAACAACTGGATGATCTATTCCCACACTGGCTCCTTTCCACACCCCAGTCTCCACATCCAATGCACAAGAAATAAACCACTGCACTTCAGAAGCAAAACAACGACAAAAAAAACCCCACCCAAAAGTAATCTGTCAAAGAGTTTCACACTGTAGTTGAAACTCTAAAAAAAAAAAAAGTCATACTGAATGAAGGGAAGATTTGGCCAGATAATCATGCAAATGAAAGAAAAAAAATCTAATTTTTAAATAATCATTTAATATACATCCGGATAAACATACAAAGAGAACCTTTCTTTTCACAGGAATTCTTGATCAGTACCCATCCTCCAAGGAAAATCCCAGTGAAGGAGGTGTGTGAAATGCTTCCAGATACCTTTGGTTTGCTTATATAGAAGTCCCCACTAGACTAATGTCATGTTCGTGGTAGCTCTGGTAGCTCCTTTCAGTGCATACAGATACACCAGGAATTAACTGTCCCTTTGGGTCTTTGGGTTCTTTTATGTGTTTTAAATTTTTCAAGCCAGAGCACAGTAAAAATTGCAATATTACAACTGTGGCAATGACTACAATGAAGCAGGTGATGAAATCTTTCTTACTTAATGTACTTCTGTAGGAAGCTGTGAAGAAATATGAACTACCTTTTTTAGCAGTGAAAGGTTTTCCAAAGTTGTTTTCCTGTGGCCATTGAGAAGAAAAACAGATTCAGATAGAAAGTCATATATTTTAATTACACGGGTGACTGTGTTTTAAAACAAAGAGGTGAAAGTCACCAGGACAAGAATAAGAGCTTAACATATCTTTTCAGAAAAGGTAATAGCTTATTTACTTGTTAAGGATCCTTTATCATTACCTAAATGAACAGGACAAAAATCAAGGATGATGGAAGATCAATAGTGTTTTGAGAGGTTTACCCCAGTAATTCAGGCAGTAATGCACAGTAAAGACATTGTAAGAAGAAGATACTTGCATAGACATTTGAAGAATCTACTTAAAGAAAATAAAGAAGAAAGAAAAATAAGAGTCTGATCACTTTTATCAGCCCTACTTAAAATTTAGGGTTATTTTGAGAGCAATGAATTCGGACTTGACACTTGACCTCTGTTCATGGACCCCTGTTCAAGCAACAGCTCAGAGGAGTCTCCTGCGTCCAGTAACTTCCACGGGACCTAATTCACCCAAGAGTGCAGGGTGTGACCAAGAACTGGGGAATAAAATCAACTCCCATTAATTTAAGAAGTCCCTGAAATGTCTTCAATTCTCGTTCCTTTCAGCCAGCCCAATCCTCCCAACTCAGTGATTAGACAACTTTGACAATCCCAGCAGGTTACAGAGTCATGGTCTTTCCCAAAAGGAGGAGAAAAAGTAACCAGTGAGCCATGTTTACTGCTGTCAGCACTGATTCTATAGGATTAATTATCTATTAGCCAATTTTCAATGGTATAGTAATGTTTTTGACTGCAATGCACCATTTTCAAAGGCAATTCAGAGCCAGTCCTGCAAATCTGTATTTGTGTGTGCAGCTTGACTTGTAGCTGGGACTAAATGTGGAAGCTTGTTTTCTCTAAAGAATCCAAAGGAGTCCAAAAACAGAGACCATGAATAACTTCTCAGTGTGCTTAACAAACCTCAGAACTGTAAAAAAAAAAAAGACAAAATTCACTGTCATAATATGTGAATGAAACAGAACAGTAGGGATTAGGGACAGGGCAGGTGGAAGATGTTCATCCCCCTCTTCAATTTGCGGTCAAATATCAGCATATTCAGTTTGCAGAAGCTATATACTTGACAAAAAAAATAAAAACCCCACCCAGTTGCACCTCTCTTATCTATATGATTACGTAATGGAGAGAAGAGGGATGAGAAGACAGAGTGCCTCTAGGAAGAAATCCTATCTGATGCGCCTGTACAGAATACATAACCATTTTCCCCTCATCCGTTATCACGCTGTTAGTAACAACACCACTAACACCTCATATGAAACAGGTTTGTCTGAAGTAATCCATAAGAGCAAGCTTGCTAGAAATGCTCAAATTAAAACCTTCATGAAACCTTGGGTCTTTGAGACTTAATATGTAGTTTTACATTCATAAACAGAATACATTTTATGGAGAACTAGGGTGTTTACCTGTTTCAGTTATGAGATAGAATAGCATTACCATAAATAATTTGCCACCTTTTCTAGCACAAAGTAAATATATTTTTACTGCTACTCACCATTACTCCTACAAAAATAAGGTTGAATAAGAAATCAAGGTTATACTGGCATTAAAACAACCTTTCCCCGATGATCTCATCAGTTTTTGAAGGACTGAAGTTTAATTTTTTGTCTCCTTTTTTTTTTAAAAGTCATAATTCTGATAAGGTTAGATAGAAAGCACCCATGGAAGTATTTTGTGGTGAAATATAGGAACACTTGCCAATAGAAATGTTTATAATAAACTCAGGACAGGAACAACCTGAGAAAATTCCTTCAATATTGCGAAATTCAGTGTGTCTTAAAGCTCCCTCTCATGCTTCCTTATCAATCTCCAAGCTCTGGAGCCCCTGAACAGGGCTGAATGTTGCTGTTTCACCCTAATGCCACGTTAGGAACTGCAGAGTTGGACTTGTACGTGATAAGGAGTGGGGAGGTAGCAGCAGGTCACTTACTATTGACTCCCCTGTTGCAAAGTCCTGCTGACACCCGAGCACAAGGTATTCATCTATCTTGCCTGTTTGTGGCTTTTTGATACTCTCCTAATCAGCACCGTCAGCAGAGCTGCTCTGAATTTAGTTGAGGGCATTAACGCAGTCAGTACAGTGGCAGTGATACATGTTTTAACTAGAGCCCAGCTCAGCT